CAGCAAAGTAACGTGCACATTAACTAGGTTAACTGTTTACAAATCATGTTCAAGAGCTCAATCAGACATTATCTTTAGTTTGATTTTGTTAGTATAGCTTTTTCTTTTAAGTTAAAGTGTTAGAATTTTCGAACCTTCACTTTCGTATGATTTCTTTCGATTTACAAAAAGTAAAATCATAGTTACCTCATGAACCATAGCGTTTTCATTACACTCGTCTTGAAGATAACAAAATACTACCATGATAAAAGTAAAATTTTTTTTTAAATAAATCAACTAGTACTACATTTTATATATAGAGAATAGATGTTTGGTTTGTTTTCATTACAGTTATTGTTTCAAAAAAACATTGATAAGAGCTTTTATTTAAACAATTTTTCACAGTTTTCTCATATACCTTATAGGTACATACATTTCTAGATCGTAACTTTTATAACATAAGACAAAGTTCGTTCGTAAACTTCAGAAGAATTTGATTCGTTTAGATTTTATCAGGTTTCTTGTATTGTTACAATCTTTAAATGGATGGTTATTAATGGATGTTGTTGTTATTGTTGTCGTTACGCGGACGACTCGGCACTCTCGATACATAGTATATATAGTGTGTATAGCAAAGTGCACGCTCCAAAACTTGACTACCCCCACCACTACATTGAAAAAAGGAAGAAAAAAAAACAATGGTAAACAAAAAACAAAACATGTATACACTTACTTTTCTCTTGCCTGATTGTCCGAGGGCACAGCTGAGCCCTTTCCCTTGGAGTACATTCTTACGACTCCTCGTTCACTTCACTGTGCGATCAACAGATCCTTTTCTCTGTACGTCTCTCTTTCTCTGATGTCCTCGCGAATCACGATCCCGGCGTAAACATACGCGCCGTTGACCGCTCTCTTTCCTTCTCTCTATACACCCAAAGAAGAGGAGAAGAAACACCAGCAAGCGGCTTTACTTCGTTGCTGATGCTCTACGCCAAGCCGAGCAACAAGGACGCCAGCAGACGACGCGCAAAAAAATCTCTCCTGGGGAAGAGAGGGAAGCTCAAGAGCACTGTGTGATGTACACACAGCAGGTAATATTGTAGCTGGGAGAGAGCCTCGAAGATGCTACTCTCCAGCTCCTTCACGCACTTACACACACACACACCACTGTTTTTTGTTAATTCGGTTATTTAAACTTAACCTAAGTAATTGCTCCTACGCGCTCAGCTGGTTAGCTGTCCGTCACAGGTGAAGTGTCCTTCGCGACACTTAACCTAAAAACCGCAGTACAAGTATGCCAATAATTAACGCCGGTGATAAAACTTCTAGCGAGTGCTCCATCCTTATAGTTTGCACCCCTCAAAAGAGCACAAGGTTCATACACTGGGGTAGATATTTATATTTACACGAAAATTGTGGTATGAGCAGACGAAATCAGCGAGCAGCGAGCGTTCGACTCAAAACACAGCTCGAGCTGCTGACTGGCACACGCACACACACACATCCACGCAGGCAGGAACTCGTACTCGTCAACACTTTGCGTGTGACTGTCCCCTCCCCGCGCGTGTGTACGACTAGTGCGTGTGACCCTCGCGAGCGTGAGCGTCCCTTAACCTCCAAGAGACAAATGCCACTTCCTCTCGGTCTGCTGCACTAACTCGCTACCCCTCTTTTTCTCGGTACCAATGCTGCTGCTTCTGCAGCCCCCAGGTAAGCAACGTATACACACTCTTTACACCATGACGCGACGCGACGCTCGCTGTGTATGCACTGTTTGTATCTCTCTCTCTCTCTCTCTCTCGAGCCTCTCTTTTTTCCGTACCTTCTTTACTATACACTCTTCCCTCGGCTTCGAGTACGGACACTACGGACGGAGAGTGTGTGATGATCACCGAACCCGAGAGAGAGAAAGACTCATTTGCTTGACTCTTTTGTCTCTCTCTCTCTCTCACACTGTGTGGTGTGTGAATCGTGAACTGTACCTACTTATATTTATGCTATAGTAGATGCGCGACGTCAACACTATATTCTCTCTCTCCCCCTCTCACTGACACTGACTATACTAAGTTGATCTTTTTTTCCTTCATCTCTCGTATACTGCTAAAAATTTAAAGTACTAATAAATATTACAACCAAGTTAATAAGTTAGGAAGTTTAACCAAACGTTTCAAACTTTTGGCAACGAGATTTATTAAACTTTAAATTTTGTGTCATAGGAAAGGATACAAAAAGTTTTTTTTTATTTCTATTAGGTCAGTTAGGTGTATCATAAAAAAATATGATTGTTTTTTTACATAAACAAATAATGACGAAAAAAAGCTCATAAAATTGTTCAGTAATGTCACTATGTGGTAAAACGATTACATTTAAACGTTACTTGAAGAGTCGAGCAACTTCAACACTTTATATCCGACAGTTGTTTGTTTATGTGCAAAAACGTGTCTAATATTTCATAATCTACCTGATGGACCTAATGGATTTTTCTGTATTCTTCGCTATACGTAATATTCTTTTAAAAATTATGATTTGATATTATTTTACAAATATTATTACTGGTAACAATATTATTAATAAACAAATGTGCATTGATAACAAGGCAGATTGCACATTAAAATTAGATTCTCCTAATTCCCAAATTTAAATGAATTAAATTAGGTATCAATCACAAATCTTTTCACTAAGATTACATATCGAAAGATTACGTTAATTGAACATATGTAGAAATTATTTTTCAAATTTCTAGACCAGTTTTACTCTTTTATTTTTTTCGTGCATACATGGTATGCAACGTGAATGGTATATGCAATAATACGAAGCATATAAACAGAAAAATAGAAAAATAGAAAGGGAGAAAGAGTGAGAGAAATAAAGTGGACTAGTGAAACTTACAGGGAAAAAACCGGGTGGCATCGGACCGCCGGGCATGCCGTCGTTCGGTGGCATTTGTCCAAGCGGCGAAGGCGCCGGTCCAGCATTCTGTAAGTACACAATATTTCGTTTGGTTTGGTTGAGATAGTTTTCGTACTCATAGCTCACAAATTGAAAGTAAGTTGACTTTCAGTAATTGTTTATCGTCCATAGCAAAGTAATAAGATGACAACATTTTGTTTTTTATTAAAGGTTTATTAAGGCGATTGGCTAATAAAAACAGTTTCGACATAGTTTTTAGAAAATGTTAAAATTACTCTCAATTATGTATTCCACTTACGTGTGCAATTCCGTTTACTCCTCCGTACCCACTATTCACGAATCCCTGAAAATTTTAGCATATTATAAGTAGATACGAGAACATAACTGTAATTTTCAAGATTTATTTTACACTTACGTAGTCATGAAAAGCTTTGGCTTCACTACTGTGTTCGCAGGAATCTCTCCGTTCAGGTGCTGCGCAATACAGGTCCCAAAATACACTGAAATTATTTTCAAACAGTTAATAAAAATACGAAAATAGAACAAATGTTTGTTGATACTCACCACCACCAAGAATGAAGAAATCCTGGAGGTTCACCAAGTGTTATGTTTTTCTCCCACCGAATCTGTTATCAAAAAGTATTTATGGCGAAATGTTTAATGTAAATGAAACAAATGCTGATAATATGTTTTATCTAAGCAACAAAGATAAATTATATGTCAAATCGCAAGTGTATTGTCTCCCCAACTGATGTTTAGAGCAATAAACTTGCGATTAAGACTTTTTAATTTGCTCCAGCTTCACACCAAATAGACCGAAAGTCATACATTTACTCATAAATGGTGTAAAGAAAAGTACTACTTTTGGACTATAAGAGTGAATAATTTGTTTATAAGAATTTTAAGTATCACTTACCTCTGACAAGAATGTTTGTGCAGCTTTTTGTGCACCAATGTGTAACAGGTATTCATATACATACAAGGCGAGTCTGAAACATAAAAAGATTTTGATTACCTCAAATCAAATAAATATTTGATTACTATGTCTAAATGGTGAAAAAATAAACTGCTTTTGATGCAGTTTTTTAAAAAGATTTGTTCAAATAAACAGCTTTAATAAATTAATTCACATAATAGTATTTTAATTTTTTATTGTTTTTTTTTTCTTTTTCAATCAGTTAAAGAATTAGTTTTACTATAACAAGTTAGCTTTGTATTTAATACATTGAAAATTGAATTGAATCGAATTAATTGTGGTAAGATCATTTTTAATTAAATTTTTTTCTAAGCCAATTAGCAACTTTTATGGCATTGTTTTTGTATTCTCCGTTATTTTTAATACTTTTTAGGGTTTACAAAAGATACAAGTTCGAAATTTTTTTTTCATTTTGTATCAAACAAAAGTAATGTCATGCAAAAAATTTCAATAAAAAATTGTTATGTGTGCGTTCAATATCTGTACATCTGTAGCGATTGTTATCGCCTACTTGAGGGAGAAAAAGGTGTTTCGTCCCGAGAGCACGCCAGGACTCATCAGTAAGGCTGATGACGTGCTCCCTGCCTTAGACACAGGAGAGGTGTGGGCTCAGATTGACTCGATCGCGCTTATATACTAATCGTGCGGGAATTTCACCGCTTGACGGGAGATAATTATTAGGGGCTTGGCCACCTGGCGAGTAGAGCCTGAAGCACGAGAGACGTGAGACGCCACACATCTACACTCAAACTATAGTTCCACAAAAGTGGTAATACAGATGGCGCAGCAATCAGCGTAGGGGGACACGACCGTTGTTGAGGATTTTTTTCACTGTCTGGATTTTCTCTCTCTCTCTCTTTTTCTGTTTCTCATTCCCTCTGCCTTCCTCGTCATCATCATTGCACGGAGAAAGGTGGAGGCAGTGTCGACCGAGAGAGGAAACAAGACGAAGATGGAGGTACGCAAAACTTATACAGTGCAGCGAGCAGCGAGTTTAGAGGAGAAAGAGATAGAAGGAGAGAGAAGTCTACAGGGTCCCGGATCTCTTCAGGGGTGCTCAAATCGTGTATGCTTCATAGAATGGTCATCTCTTTTAAATTGCGAGGGATATTTTGCAATGATTTTGCACAGAAGCTAAATTCTTTGATTTGCTGAATATTTGAAGACAGTATTTACAAAGTAATAGCACTGTTTGGAAAATTTTAGGAAAATTCAATTAAATTGAATAGTAAAAATTATAAAAAATTATGCTCATTAGGATTATCATGATTTCTTATTAATGAAAAATTTGTTTGAGATATCTTTATCATCGATTACAATATTAAAATTTTTTATTAATGTTCTAGTATACTTTAGCTATAAAGAAATGTGTAAATGTGCAAGAAACCCTAACTTCAAACAAGTGCTGCAACTTCAAATGGTCTATTTAACAATGAGATGAGGAAAGCTTGTGTCCTTCTATAATCAGCTGATACGAGCAAAAAAGTGTTTACAACTCGGTTACGAGATTAAAAAGTTGAATTTCAGGATCGAGAAACTAAGTAGGCACGGTGCTCCAACAAGGGTCAACCGCTCGAGATTTTTGTAATGGAAAACGGCTACAAACAGCAGCCGGCGGCGAGAAAGCGGGTTCTGTACGTGTGCATATGCTAACGTATTAGTGCCAAGAAAGAAAAAGACAGAGAGGGAGAGAAAAAGAGAGAGAGAGAGACCTAGTCAGGAGCAGAGAGCAGCGCGCGTGGCACACTTCGATCGACAAAATTAACGGGAGTGCGTCGAAAATCCCGCTCTGGAGCTGCCACTCACCATGGAACTTTGTTACATGTGGCATCTATCTTATGCATTATTTAATATTACCTATACGATTGTTTTTTGAGACTTTTTATCATCTATAACTATTTAAACAAAAATGTTTTTGCACCTACAGCAATGTCACGAATTTTTTCATTTTTTTTTCGCTTCAAATATTCGTGACTATTCTTTCAATTAAATAAACGTTGATTAAATTTCAACACTAAGAAAAAGTGTGAGTTCGTATATTAAAAAATTTTTTTTCTAACAATTATCAAAATGTTTCATTTGCAAAAGGAGAAATAAAATACAATAGGACGTCAAGAGATATCGTGAAACTTAAGCTTTTGATGACTTTGGTTTTCATCAACAACTTAACCTTACTATCGTATCAAATTACAGTAAAAAAGTACTCTTACACAACATTTATACCTTACTAGATATCAGTTCATTTAAAGCCTTTAGTAAAAAATGTACATATGCTTTCGAAGTATTTATAGACTCATAGTTAGATGTCAAACTTTTAGTGTAAAGTTACTTTAATTTAACTATATCACAATAAAGTTAGGCGCAAGTGTAAGAAATGGTGGCATACTATATGCAGACGTCAACTATAGTGAACTTCCAACGTCAACAAAACTACTATATCATAAACGGAGCACACATGCTACGTATTACATCTAATTATTGATTAAAATATGCACAACTTTGAAGTTATGGACATTATCAATCAAATGAACTTTAAGTTTTTTCCATACATCATTTCGTCAAAATAAATTAATTTACGAACCAAAGGTGCAGGAAATATAATGACTACACAATAATATACTGAGAGAAGGGCTTGTTAGTAATTAACTTCATATGTTAACTATCAACTTACGTATAATATGTATCCCACGTGGTGCCATCTAATGTAACGCAGGTTCAACGTAAATATGGCATGGTAACTATTAACATGCCGTCAGTGTCAGTTAAAATTTAAAAATTTATAAAGAACATGTAAACTAATTTTCTGTTAACATACTCGTACGTTGATAGTAAACAAATCCTTCTCTCAGTCATAGGGAAAAGCAAATAAAGTATTAGAAATCTGAACTGCGAAAGAAAATGCAATAAACAAATTGATAATAGAAAATTGTAGATCAAATGCAAAATAAGGAAATTACAAAATTAGAGGAGTTGCTTATGTTATGTGATTTTTTGTGAAAGAAAATTTAGGGACCTCTTATTATGGGATTACATTACATTACTATTTGTTATATTCTGATTTTTTTCGCACATTAACTAGGTTAACTGTTTACAAATCATGTTCAAGAGCTCAATCAGACATTATCTTTAGTTTGATTTTGTTAGTATAGCTTTTTCTTTTAAGTTAAAGTGTTAGAATTTTCGAACCTTCACTTTCGTATGATTTCTTTCGATTTACAAAAAGTAAAATCATAGTTACCTCATGAACCATAGCGTTTTCATTACACTCGTCTTGAAGATAACAAAATACTACCATGATAAAAGTAAAATTTTTTTTTAAATAAATCAACTAGTACTACATTTTATATATAGAGAATAGATGTTTGGTTTGTTTTCATTACAGTTATTGTTTCAAAAAAACATTGATAAGAGCTTTTATTTAAACAATTTTTCACAGTTTTCTCATATACCTTATAGGTACATACATTTCTAGATCGTAACTTTTATAACATAAGACAAAGTTCGTTCGTAAACTTCAGAAGAATTTGATTCGTTTAGATTTTATCAGGTTTCTTGTATTGTTACAATCTTTAAATGGATGGTTATTAATGGATGTTGTTGTTATTGTTGTCGTTACGCGGACGACTCGGCACTCTCGATACATAGTATATATAGTGTGTATAGCAAAGTGCACGCTCCAAAACTTGACTACCCCCACCACTACATTGAAAAAAGGAAGAAAAAAAAACAATGGTAAACAAAAAACAAAACATGTATACACTTACTTTTCTCTTGCCTGATTGTCCGAGGGCACAGCTGAGCCCTTTCCCTTGGAGTACATTCTTACGACTCCTCGTTCACTTCACTGTGCGATCAACAGATCCTTTTCTCTGTACGTCTCTCTTTCTCTGATGTCCTCGCGAATCACGATCCCGGCGTAAACATACGCGCCGTTGACCGCTCTCTTTCCTTCTCTCTATACACCCAAAGAAGAGGAGAAGAAACACCAGCAAGCGGCTTTACTTCGTTGCTGATGCTCTACGCCAAGCCGAGCAACAAGGACGCCAGCAGACGACGCGCAAAAAAATCTCTCCTGGGGAAGAGAGGGAAGCTCAAGAGCACTGTGTGATGTACACACAGCAGGTAATATTGTAGCTGGGAGAGAGCCTCGAAGATGCTACTCTCCAGCTCCTTCACGCACTTACACACACACACACCACTGTTTTTTGTTAATTCGGTTATTTAAACTTAACCTAAGTAATTGCTCCTACGCGCTCAGCTGGTTAGCTGTCCGTCACAGGTGAAGTGTCCTTCGCGACACTTAACCTAAAAACCGCAGTACAAGTATGCCAATAATTAACGCCGGTGATAAAACTTCTAGCGAGTGCTCCATCCTTATAGTTTGCACCCCTCAAAAGAGCACAAGGTTCATACACTGGGGTAGATATTTATATTTACACGAAAATTGTGGTATGAGCAGACGAAATCAGCGAGCAGCGAGCGTTCGACTCAAAACACAGCTCGAGCTGCTGACTGGCACACGCACACACACACATCCACGCAGGCAGGAACTCGTACTCGTCAACACTTTGCGTGTGACTGTCCCCTCCCCGCGCGTGTGTACGACTAGTGCGTGTGACCCTCGCGAGCGTGAGCGTCCCTTAACCTCCAAGAGACAAATGCCACTTCCTCTCGGTCTGCTGCACTAACTCGCTACCCCTCTTTTTCTCGGTACCAATGCTGCTGCTTCTGCAGCCCCCAGGTAAGCAACGTATACACACTCTTTACACCATGACGCGACGCGACGCTCGCTGTGTATGCACTGTTTGTATCTCTCTCTCTCTCTCTCTCTCGAGCCTCTCTTTTTTCCGTACCTTCTTTACTATACACTCTTCCCTCGGCTTCGAGTACGGACACTACGGACGGAGAGTGTGTGATGATCACCGAACCCGAGAGAGAGAAAGACTCATTTGCTTGACTCTTTTGTCTCTCTCTCTCTCTCACACTGTGTGGTGTGTGAATCGTGAACTGTACCTACTTATATTTATGCTATAGTAGATGCGCGACGTCAACACTATATTCTCTCTCTCCCCCTCTCACTGACACTGACTATACTAAGTTGATCTTTTTTTCCTTCATCTCTCTCTCTCTCTGGTTTATTTTATGCATGTGTAGAATGGAAAGCATGTATATAAAAATATATATATGATAATAATATATTATAGATGCACGTGTGTAGTTGTGCGACGCGCCAGTATCATGGCAACGCAATATATAAGTCCAACAGTGTGGAGTGTCGCCGCCCTTGCGAGCACGTCCTCGGATCCTCCCCTCTTTATCCCTACTCTTAGAGCTAGACGATGGCTATTAGTATAGCTATATCTCAATATGTATACATATAGGTATAAAATTTATATAGTACATAGAATGTGCATGTATCTCGTGAGTAGGCTTTTTTGTACACTAGCATTTTTAAATTACTTGGCTCTTTTACTTCCATGTACAATGTATCATGTACCTACATACTTAAAAAAGTAAAAGTATAATACTTAACTTTGGCTTCCAATAAATGTAGCTTAATACAATCCTAACCTATAATCCAACGATTCCTTTTACCCATTTTATAATATAAGGAAATCATAAATTACAAACATAAATCGTATCAAAATTTCTGGTAAATTTTTATAATTTTGCAGCTCGAAATTGGTGAAAAGTTAATGATAAGTGATAACAATCCGTACTAAGAAATAGTAAAGTCCAGATTTAAAGATGAGAAGAGAATTTGATAACTGTCACTATTAGTTATTATTAGTTTTCTTTTCTTTTTCGTCGTAAGTGACTTAACATAAATAAAATGAAAGCTGATAATAACTATTATAAATTATAATAAACTGTTACCTACATAGTTTATAATATGTATTAGTTATCATTAATTATTTTAAAAATTTAAAGCGACTGATAAAAATTTCTACTAATTATCACTAGGTGTTCATAAAAATGATTTAATAAGAGAATAATACTACATTTTTCGATANTACTAGGTTATCGTTAAAATAACTTTCAAAAAATTTATTTATTGGTTATTTACAAAACAAAAAAATTTTTTTATTGTTTCTAGTGGTAGAAAAATATATAAACTTAATGTTGAAGCAACTGTTTTGTTATTATGTGATACAATAATTCATTAAAAATGAAAACAAGGTTTTCCAATAAAAGTGTTCAAGTAAGTACTGGTACTTTTATATCTTATGACTCCTATATACCTCTAACGTAGTTAGAGAAGAGCAAGAGAGGGCAATATACAGCTGCGCAGTGACTGCATTCCGTTTCTCTGCAAGTGTATATTATACTTACGCACACCGACACGAGTTATAATCGCACACTTGTGCTTCTCATGTATTTACCGGTCTCTTTTTGCTATGAATGCTAAGTATGTCCTTCTCTTTTTTTTTTCAGCTCCCTTTTTTTCGATTTTTTACCAGTTTCCATATCCCTTTTAACTCCTCTAGCATCTCATAATATTCGCGCAAGGTCCAAAGTTGAAATTTGAAGAACTCTTTGAAGTATTAATATTTGTGTCCTTTTTCAAGATTTTTAATGTCTAACTTTTTAAATTATTTTTATTTCTTTTTAAAAATAACATAGCTGAAAAAACGAGTCCTGTCAACACATATTATAATAATGAATAATTAATAAAATTGTGTTATGTCCAATATTATGTGTTACAAATCAAACTATGGGGATGTTTCTAAATTAGAATTAAGTCGTGGTACTTAACATTAAAAAACAGGAAAAACCTGAAAAAGTGAAAGAAAAAAAAAAGAACACGACAAAACGGGGGATGCTACTAGCGACGCCCCTGGGCACTTTCTACGCAATTATAAATGCTCATTAAAATTTTTTTTTAAATATATTTAGTTCAATATAACTTTTAAGTATTACTCGGTTGATAGTGTAGAAATAATACATATGTATATTAATCCTACGATTATACTATACATTTCCGCATTATAGGTTTATTCAAATGACAATAATGTGTTTCGTCTACTTTATCAACATGATTTCACCTGTTTTAACTTTTTAAACGCATTTCAAATACAATCATATAGCATGAATATTTGATCTTTGGTAACAGCAAAGTTAAAAAATATATATTACGTAAATACCCTCAAGTATGTACTGACTAGTACTGTTACTCGCATCATTTTTCAATATTTTAGAGGTAACATGAATGGTGGGAGGACGAAATGAGTATGTACATGATCGTACTTAAAAATCATAGGAATAAATTTTCAACGTCTTGTCTTGGAAGTTTCTACACCTTATCTTCATAATCTGCCCGGTTATTATTAGTTTCTGCGAAAAACCTTTGTTTTCATATTTAATACGAACCTTTTATTTTATTTTATTTTATCATACCTCTTTGTACAGCATCACTTGATAAAAAATTTGAAACAAAAAAATAAAAATAAAAAACAAATACTTAACAAAGGTGCCAAAAAAATTTGTTTATGGTTATTAAAAACAAAAGTTAGGTTAGATTGTGGTAATTTCAAAAATAAACACAAATTAATTTGTCAGGATTTTGAGATGTGCTAAGTACATTTAAAAACAAGTACTGACAGATGGCATGCAAGTAGGAGAAAGATTGCGTCTGCATCTCTAATTTCTGACTGTTTCCAGCAATGTAGTTTGTAATTACTGAGCATTATTTAATATTACAAAATGTTTCGACATCTACATAAAAATTTTAAACTTCGGATGGTGTTTGCAAATCGATTTAGTGATCTATGTTCATCTATGTTGAATGTTACAAAATACTATAATACAATCACACATGATACAGATTATTATTATTATGCAGAAGTATCATTAATAAAAAATTAATAAAGTGATTTGACACTGAAAATTCATCTCAGAAAGTAAAAAATAATAATTGATAGTAAATTTTTTTACTTATAAATAATTAAAAATTGTGCCTAGTTGATGGTATTAAGTTTTTGTAAGTGATTACTATAAATTTTTTTAATTTATAACTAATTTTTGATAAAAATTATTGATTGCTGTTATGAAACAACGAAATTATATTATATTTTACAATTTAGATTTTATATTAAGATAGTAATGATAAATATTATTATAGTCTCAAATTTTAACCTTATTAGTTGTTATTAGTTATTACTAGTTTTTATTTTTTTTACCTTAAGAAATTTTATCTCTATCAAGAAAAAGTAATGAAATTAATATAAATAATTAACAATAATAATGTAAATGCACACATAACAAGACTATATTCGCAGATCAGGAAAAAGCATTTCTAGACGTATAGCTTAGAAACCGCTACCCAGATCCCAATCCAAAAATGCTTATTCTTATTTCAAGAAATCCATTGCTTAAATCTTTTTCCAGTTGCCAAACAATAATTACAAATTGCTTGCTAAATCTATAAATTCAATCGTTTGGAGTGTACGAATTTATGTAATGTGCTTAAGTCAGTCACAACTGAAAGGTAAAATACTTCATAAAGTTATACCAGTATCTAGAACGGCTTGAAACAAATTATTTCGTTTTGAATAGATAGAGTTTTACAGTTGGTAAAGCTTTCATGTGACGATGTGACATGGAAATCCGTAAAATGTAGTTAACCTCTCTTTCCTGTTTCATGAGGTTCCACACCAAAGTGGGGGGCTGGGGGCTATGGGGGGTACGAGAGGTCCGACTTTTTGCTTCTTCTAGGTTATAAATGCGCGCATGCCCCATTTATCAACATTAGAGTTTTTTTCATACTTTTAAATATTTATTTATATCTTTTTTCACAACTAACCAATTGATCTGATTGTTTTACGTAAATCTGAAGTAAGTTTCAACCGATCATTGGCTGAAATTTTTTCGAAATCTCTCTGTCAATTCTACCATTATTTCATAGGTTAAGAGTAATTTTCTAGAATTTTTTTCTTGATTCAGAGGAAATCAAAAATCTTAAAACTCCACATAAATTCTGTTTATCGGTTTATTGACATATATACCGAGTTTTAATAAAAACTGACTGTTAATTTCTTTCAGTGTGGTACCTTCTTAATTGACATGGGCTGTTATTGGGTTAAAAATACATATCGGTACCTTAACATGATGTTCATCTACTAGGTTATCGTTAAAATAACTTTCAAAAAATTTATTTATTGGTTATTTACAAAACAAAAAAATTTTTTTATTGTTTCTAGTGGTAGAAAAATATATAAACTTAATGTTGAAGCAACTGTTTTGTTATTATGTGATACAATAATTCATTAAAAATGAAAACAAGGTTTTCCAATAAAAGTGTTCAAGTAAGTACTGGTACTTTTATATCTTATGACTCCTATATACCTCTAACGTAGTTAGAGAAGAGCAAGAGAGGGCAATATACAGCTGCGCAGTGACTGCATTCCGTTTCTCTGCAAGTGTATATTATACTTACGCACACCGACACGAGTTATAATCGCACACTTGTGCTTCTCATGTATTTACCGGTCTCTTTTTGCTATGAATGCTAAGTATGTCCTTCTCTTTTTTTTTTCAGCTCCCTTTTTTTCGATTTTTTACCAGTTTCCATATCCCTTTTAACTCCTCTAGCATCTCATAATATTCGCGCAAGGTCCAAAGTTGAAATTTGAAGAACTCTTTGAAGTATTAATATTTGTGTCCTTTTTCAAGATTTTTAATGTCTAACTTTTTAAATTATTTTTATTTCTTTTTAAAAATAACATAGCTGAAAAAACGAGTCCTGTCAACACATATTATAATAATGAATAATTAATAAAATTGTGTTATGTCCAATATTATGTGTTACAAATCAAACTATGGGGATGTTTCTAAATTAGAATTAAGTCGTGGTACTTAACATTAAAAAACAGGAAAAACCTGAAAAAGTGAAAGAAAAAAAAAAGAACACGACAAAACGGGGGATGCTACTAGCGACGCCCCTGGGCACTTTCTACGCCACTGCACCAACAACCCAACCTAACCTCGTAGCACTACTAATTAAGGGGAAGTACAAATACGAGCTGGGAGGGGAGGTGGATGTATATAGTCGTCGGGGAGAGTTGATCCCAGTATCGATGGAAGGTGCAGGCTTGGGTGCCGAGCATTGTGCCCTGAGGCAAAATACCCAACAATTGACGGCGAGGAGGCGTCGGGCTGTCGGGGAAAATTGGTGGGTGGGGGGATTCGTAACAAAATGGGAGGGGGAGCGAATACATATATATTAAGGACGAATGGAAGGGGAAGAGGGCAGAGTGCACACGTTTGCTGCGCTGCTTAGCCATTCTTGTGGCTGTGCCGCTTCCCCTTTTTCAATTTTATCTCGCCGAATCGACAAGCAAAACTATACATGTATATATACACTGCCAAGACAATGCCTGCACTACTAAACCAAAGGGAAAGTCCTTTCGTTACATTTCATGTACTTATATACGGTACCTTTCTTTTAGGCAGAAGAAGCTATTGAGAGGGGATATGGGGAGGGGGGTTACGACGCCGAACCCGGGGGGAGGGGATGGAGCGCACGTACAACATTGCAATTAGAACGGTCTATTTCGCGCGCAACTGTAAAGAAACTGTTTTTTCGACATTTTCACCAGAGAATGCATAGATTATTTTTTTTTTTTTTAATTATTTTTGCTATCGCAGGTTGCAGTATCTTGTTTTTTCTCGCTAGAAGTTAATAAATATTTCTCGCGTCAAAAAATCGAAACACAATAACACCATTAATTAAAAATATAAAGGTACTCTTGTTTTTCAACGGTTTAAATAAAAATGTACGTTCGAACAATTGAAACAAATATATTGCAAAATAAAAACAGTTTAAATTACAACGTAATCATGGAAAAATTTTTTTTTTTAATTCTTAATTTAAAATTTTCCAAATCAAGGTACATTTTTTGTGCATAAAAGACGTTATTTCGCAGGAGATGCCAATAAATGGACGGTCCAGGGACAATGACGTGGGAGGAGTTTGTGGATAATGCCGAGAAACTAGTGAGATTGTCGGACGAGATCTCGGACCATTGGAAATTTCCAGGGGACAAGGTGCGTCGAACAACCGTCTGCCTTCTCTCTCGTTTGATGTATGTGTGCACGCTGTGTGTGTACGCATGACGTTCGATCGATCGACATTCGGCAACAATGGCTCAACTGACTCATGTTACAGAGCCCCCCCATGCGCCTTAATAACGCGAATGGCGAGGAACAAATGCGATAATCCAACAATAAAAAACAAAATTTAGTTTGCTTGGTTTTCTTATTCATGTATAATGAATGTTGATCAACAGGCGCTACCGGGCCAAGCCTATTTGACTCGGCAGGAAAAATTATTCGTCCCGATTGACCATCCAATGGACGATGAGCGATTAGAGGACGGTCTTAACATCGAATGCGATGATGAGAAATGGTGCGAGGAGTTAAATGAACATCGAGATCCTTACGAGTATCCTGTCGTTAAGGAGAGACCGTTGATCATCGAACACCACGTCTTGTGGTCCATGAGTTACAGCGTGCCTGTGATTTATTTCAATGGTTGGAAATCAGGTGAGTCGAAGATAATTTTCACAAATTTATATATTCATTACCCGACATGCATCTCTTACTTGTCAATACCACGACTTGAACTCTCCCGCTAATGTAATAAGTTGAAATGTGAAACACACTAACCATCCGCGCGATGGTAACTGATGCAGAGAGAGTTCTTTACACTGGGCTGGTTGCTTTTTTATAAAGTAGAGGTCCTTAGTATACGCATTTGACGATTTTAATTAATTCATCGAGCTCTCTTTCCAACTTTTGCAGGTGTGTAGTCGTTATGGTGATGAAACACAATATATATATATACATTTTTTAAAATTTATATTATAGTGTTGTTACCTCTGGTAAGAGCTATTTACACTCACAGTATATATAGATATAGTGAAGTGTTTGCTCCCATATACTTATAGCTCGGGGAATCACACTTTTGTCGATAAAAAAGAGTTCTGTATCTCTTTTTTTTTCATAAAAAAAGTTTTTATTGAACAACTCGATCAAAAACGTTCTTATTGAAGAGTTGCAATTACTTTGTTGATTGCAATCGAGCACCTATTAATCTACTCGTACACACTGAACTTGAATTTATAAATAGCGTTTGAGATTCATAGTAAGAGTTACATGGATGGTATAATGGTTCAAAATTCGTCCCGTAATATTTCGCGATGTCCTGCAATGCAATGTCACAACGTCGAAATCGACGTTTAATCACTACTAGACCTTAATCCGAAAGAGTACAGGGAAGCATCATAACGGCAATTGTTTCGCCTGTCGCGGGAGAACGAGTCCCTCTAAGCTGCAGCTCCGCGCAATATCGAAAAGTGCTAGACTTTTTTTTTTTTTTTTTTTGGCGCACTCGCTCGTCGTCGTAGGTGGCCAGCTTGAAAACGCGTTTGGCTCTCGTAAGCTTTTGTTTAAAAAAAAATTAATAATCAACTATTTTTTTAATTATTCTGTAAGAACATTCAGTTTTGTTCCTAAAAATAAATCAATTGGGTTGACCACAAAATGCAGTAAAAAAACAATTCACTTCATTCACGTTTACTTGACCATCAAACTATGTATCATCTACTAAAGAATTAATTTCAATAAAGATTTTTTTTTTTTTAAATTGGGTTACCACATAAATTGCTAAGTATTTCTTTTAAAAAATGACGCCCTGCACTATGTTTTCATTACTCGTAACCCTTTACCCAAAAATAGATATTTAAGAAGGAAAAAAAAAAAAAAAAACCTCGTTGTCTCCAGATTACCCCGGCATCAATCCAGTGAGCGTGGAAATTGCGCAAAAGCTGTTGGAAACCGACAAGCTGGCCTACAATGAACTTTCCCAAGCCATTCATCCGCTTCTCGGTCGGCCCTTTCTCCACCTCCATCCCTGCGGCTCGCCCGAGCTCTTACGGAGCGTGGCCCAAAGGTACGTATATTATACACGCATCGAGAATACACTTTATGGTCCTGTGTGAGGAAAATTCGTCGCTTCCAACGGGACGATTAGGGAGTGCAAACGTGCGATCCATTGTTTGAGCTTGGAACGAGTGCGAAAAACAAAACAAAAAAAAGCGTGTATGTGTAAACGAGCAGGAGTCGAGGGAAAGCGGAAAGAGGAAACGAGACAAACGAGTATAGGAAATCCGGCGACCTCGACACGATTTCCTTCTCCTCCTCTTCGATCCTCTCACCCCTGACGCGCGTAACTGCGGAAAAAGACATTTTTTGTTCCAAGGCAGTGTATACGTATGCGCTCAATAAAACTGTTTAATGCGTCTCATTCGAATTTTGCAGCACCAACAAACTGGTGAGCTGGTTAAGTGCCGTGGCACCAGCTGCGTTGAAGCTACGCCTGAGGTCCGAATACTTTTATCTGACAAACGCAGCTCGAGGAGGTGACAAGGATAACGCCGAAGATGGACGGTGAGCTTGCGAGAGCTTTTTTGTTTTTTAAGAAAAACTGTGATCTCGTGTTTGAATAAACAATACGCTTCATCGAACGATTTATTGGCATTTGCTTATTTCACCCTTATTCCGGTGTGGACAAAATTATATATTTGGGTAATTTAAGCACGATAATGCTAGTTTTTGCGTGTGAGACTTGGTTGTTTGATAATCATTTAAATGAGTTGAAAGTAAAACAAAGGCTGATTTTTTACTGGGTGGATATTTTTTATCTTTCGCTGAAAGTGCACATAATGTCTACGTAAGAATTATCTTTCAACAAAAATGAAGGGTCGGATACATTTGGCGTGAGAAATTGAATTTTTTTTTTTTTCAAGAATTTCTAAAGCCTGTACGTGTTATTTTTTTAAATGAATCGTTAGCCTTGCAGAGTTTTTAAATCAAAGTTTTTTTCTTTTCTTTGTCACAGCACACTTTTTGTACAACACTCGTATCATCATTCTGTCTGTATAGTACATAAACGTACTTTAACAAATGTAAATATTTTTATACATTATATGAACTTTTATAACACTGGAAAAAATACCTTTTTCGTTCAATATTTTGTTGTACAACATTGAATAAAAACTCAGATGCTATGTAAAACGATTTTGCGAATCCAGTATTGTCAAAAACAATTTTCATAGAGAACCAAAAAAAAGTTGTATTTTCGAAAACTCCACTTTTTGTTTTTAGATGTCATATTCTTTTTTTTTTCCTTTAGCAGGGAGTAATCTATTTTCCAGCTATTTTCATCGTCGAGTATCCTCATTATGTCCCATAGCGAATCGTACAATTCTTTTTTCCGATCGAAATATCATCAAATTTTTTTGCGAACCCACGGCGCTATCAGACGTTGATCACTTCAGTTAGCAAATTCGAGACAAACTCTTTGTGTTTTACGTTGAAAATAATTTTTTCAAGAGATGACTCTTTTCATGATTAGAAAAAAAAAAATATAAGACACTCCCACTTACTTGTCGTACACCCAAAATGTAACATAAATAATGTTGCATCAGTATTAAAATGTACATGCAAAGATGACCCTTAATTTACATATAAATGATAAATATGATTTCAGGATAACGCATACAAAGTATTGTCCGCATGATTTAAAGCCAAGCATTACATCGATGAGCTTTCGAGATGCTCATCGTCAATGGCACGGTCTAGTGGTGATTAAACCCAACCCACCACCCATCCACTGTAAACCACCTACAAAGGGAATCGGATGAAATGCATTATGAAGGAGCCGCGCGGCTCATCTCCCTGTTTCTCCGGTTTTGCCCGACACTCCAAACGCAAATCCAATTTAGCGCAGATCAACTCGAATAACATGTGCTTCGAAAACTTGGCTTTGTTCCAAAAATGAAAGGTAGAGGCTTGCTTTTGCTGTCGCTATTGTTTACCGAGAGTATATATATGTAGCTGTGTATAGCCATACGAATAAAAGTTAAGGGTTAACTTCAGACTTGGGCACGTACGTTTATTCAATTTTTTTTTTTTGCAGCATAGGTTTTTTCTTATCATGTGATACGTTTAAGAAATAATTTTTTTTTTTTTTTTTTTTTATCTTTTTAATACTCCAACAAATGTATTGAAATTTGAAAGAATTTACATTTTTGAAAAAAAAGAGTTAAGGTTCATGGAAAATTATTTGAATACTTTATTTCTTATACTACACTTATGATGTATGATGTGAGAGAAATTTTGTTTAATATTGTATTGTTGATGGTGACGAATAAAAAACTTTTCCATCAACAAAAATACAGGTTAAAAAAATGTTGTATCCAAATCTGGTTACTATGGTCGTTCTGTAATGTGGGAATAAACAGAAATTAAGGTAGGGAAAAAGCTTAAAAGAGGGAGAAATTTAGGGATTCCCAGGTAAGCGTATAGTAGGCAAAGTAGCAGCAAGTGAGTGAACGCGGATAAACCGCGAGAAAGAGAGCGAGAGAAAAGTACGCAATATGCGGGAGTAAAAGAGCTGAAATCTCTTCGCCTGACCTATTTTTTCAGAGCGCTTGCTCCCTTTTATTTTTTCTACATTTACCCTTTTTTTTTTTTTTTTTTTTTTACACTCACAGTATATATAGATATAGTGAAGTGTTTGCTCCCATATACTTATAGCTCGGGGAATCACACTTTTGTCGATAAAAAAGAGTTCTGTATCTCTTTTTTTTTCATAAAAAAAGTTTTTATTGAACAACTCGATCAAAAACGTTCTTATTGAAGAGTTGCAATTACTTTGTTGATTGCAATCGAGCACCTATTAATCTACTCGTACACACTGAACTTGAATTTATAAATAGCGTTTGAGATTCATAGTAAGAGTTACATGGATGGTATAATGGTTCAAAATTCGTCCCGTAATATTTCGCGATGTCCTGCAATGCAATGTCACAACGTCGAAATCGACGTTTAATCACTACTAGACCTTAATCCGAAAGAGTACAGGGAAGCATCATAACGGCAATTGTTTCGCCTGTCGCGGGAGAACGAGTCCCTCTAAGCTGCAGCTCCGCGCAATATCGAAAAGTGCAAGACTTTTTTTTTTTTTTTTTTCGTGAAATTAAAAGAAAAAAAGAAACAACAATTTAC